CTTATTTATAAATCTAAAAATAATTTAATTTAAAAAAAATAGTAGAATAGAAGCAGTATATTTATTTTTAATATTTTAATTAATAATTAATATATAATTTTTTTAATATTTTATAATATAATTAAGATATATAGCTAAAATAGAATAATAATTATATATTTTTATATATATTTTTTATTATAAGAATAATAATTTTATAAAAAGCTGAATTTTATTAATATAACTAGAACTTTCTTATTATTTTTAATAGTTAATAATAAAAAAGATATTAATTTCTTTTTTAATTATATTTTTTTAATCTAAAAAGCTTTTTTTATATATTTTTAGATAATAATAAAGATAGTTAGATTAATAATTATTTAATCTAAATATATCTTAATTATACTAGAGCTTAAAAAAATATAATAGATAGATCTTAATATTAAGAATAATTAAGATAATTAATTATCTAATTTTTAATTATATTACAGTTAGATATAAAAATTTTCTTAATCTGATTATAACCTGATGATTAGATATAAAAATTCTAATTAACCTGACCTGACCTGGCTGTTAGCCACTCTACAGTAATAATTAATAATAAAAATAGTTTATAATAAAAAAAATTTAAAATAAGAGATATATAAAAAAAGATTAGAGAATATAACTTTAATATGAAATTAAATAAATTAAATATATTTATATAATATAAGAATTAATCTCTACTTTATAAAAAGCTAAAGCTCTTAATAATTAATTAAAATTTAAAAATAATTCTTAGATTTCTGAATAATTAATTAATAATATTATTTAATTAATAAAATTTCTCTAGATAACTACTAATAATATCTTTTAATTAATAAAACTTTATTTTTTATAGAAAAAGATAAAAAAATAATATAAAAAAATATAGAAAAATCTTTTTATCTAATATTTTTTAAATTTTTAATTTTTTAATAATAATATAGAAGAGCAGCGCGGTATTAATAAATTAATATTTTATTTTATTTTTATTAATATATATATAATAGATTCTATAATTGTTTTATTTATATTTATTATAATATTTACTTTAGTACTTAGATAATTAGATATTTTTAAAAAAAAATAAAATAAATATTATTAATATATAAAATAAACTGCGGCAAGCTATAAGAAAAAATAAAAATAATATTAATATATAAAAAATAAATAGTTCTTAGTAAATAAAAAAAGATTTATAATATATATTAATAATATTTATATAAAATTTAAAAATAAATATCTATTTATATAACAGACAGCAAGCTAATATAAATAATAAATTTATATAAACAATTTTTTAAACCTTTTTTATAAATTAATATAATATAATTAATAAAGTATTTTATTTTTCTAAGTTATAAAATATATAGTAATATATTTACTTTTTTTATAAAAATTTATAAATAAATATAATAAACTTGTTTATATACAGAGCAGTCTAAGTAGATTTAAAGAAATTATATAAAAAATAAAAAAAAGTATAATAAATATATTCTCAGACTTAATCTTTTTAGCTATACTTATAAATATTAGAAGATATTAATATATAAAAAAAATAAAAAAAGATTTGATAAAAAAATAATATAAAAATATTAAATTATTTATAAAATTATATTTAAAAATAATAAAAAAATTAAAGAACTGCTATTTATAAGAGATATATTTTTTATATAATAGAGATAATATATATATTAGAAATCTTGAAATTATTTATAAATAAAATAAAATATATATAAAATAAAAAAAAGAATATTATTATAAGATTCTTATATAAATTTTTCAAATCTTAAAAATTTAATAAAATCTGCGCGAATATTCTGTTTAGTATATTATAATTAAATAAATAATTAAATAAAGCAAGAAATAGTACTATATAAAAAAAATAAAAGAATATAATTTAAATATTCTTATTTTTTTCTCTTCTTTTCTTCTTTATTAATTCCTTCTGTATCAACAGTTAATTATTAGATTAGCTTAATTTAATCATTTCTCTAACAAAGATCTTTCTACAGTACTAAAAAACTAATACTTTAAAAAAAATCTAATATTATAATATAATATCTATTATTATTATTATTATTGATTCTGAATCTGTTTGTTCTATTTTAAAGTTTTTACATATAATATATATAGTATAAAGCTACTGGTTTTATATACTAGTTCTTTTGCTGATAGTGCAGTGGTTTAGCATCAGAATGCATACCCGACACTGCGCTGTGACACTCCCAAGCCTTGCTAGTCTGGGTACTATAGTACTCAGTGATTTGACTTTTTTTTCAAGCCTCATATGCGTAGCTTATTAATCAGATGAAGCACCAGGTTTTGGTGTTAAGTGATCCCTCGCACTATATCAGAAACATTATAATTAAGATGAGTAGCCACCCTAAAAGCAGGAACATATTCTTATCAATTCTCTATGGAATCATGGTGCTGCTGTGACATGGGGAACAAGAACAGTTCCTATATAATATGTAGCATTCTTTCATCAAAATTTGCAATAACTGACAATTATCATACAAGGTTGAAGATAATATATGTTATCTGTCTGCTTCAAAGTCACGGACAAGAAAACCTCTATTGCTTAAATAATTTTTAACCTCACCAACAGTAAATTCACCGCGGTGGAACTGTGATGATTGAGTAGAGTATTAGCAAACTTGTAGACAAAGATAGTCATAAAAGTGACTTACCATGCCAGCGCCCAAAGCTGCATCAGTTTTAGTACTTTCAAAAACTTCTGCAAAATGTTCAGGGTTGCCAGCTCCACTTGAGGCAATAACTGGAATTTTGATAGCAGTCTTAACATCATTAATAAGCTCTAGATCAAAGCCACTGTTGCTTCCATCTTTGTCAATGCAATTGAGTAGGATTTCACCAGCCCCCATAGCTTCAACAGCCTTGGATAACTGCCATACATCAAGATCCCGACTCTCGCGGCCACCCTTTATGGTGCACTGATACCAGCAATAGTTTTGACCAGCAGCATTGGGGTATTTTGTCTTGATTGTATGATGTTTGGTATCCTCTGGTCTGCTCACATACACCCGCTTAGGATCCACGCTCACAACCACAGCCTGGTTACCATATGCCTTTGATATTGACTCTATAGCTGTGTTCCCAGTCAGTTTCTCACCAGTTGCATAGAACTCTTCTGCTGCAATAACAGCATCAGAGCCAATGCTGACTTTATCAGCACCAGATTTGAAATACATGGTTGCGACATCAAGAGCGGAAATTGGGGTACCATCAATATCAATCGTGTCTTTAATTCCGCCACCAATTGTCAATGGCACAAAGACTGTTTCTGAAGTTCTCTTTAGGATTTCCAGCATAGGCGTATCCGCAACTGGACAATTTCTGAAGGAAGTGATATTCAGAAATGTAACCTCGTCTGCCCCTTGTTCGTAATATGTTCTTGCCATGTCAACTGGCTTTCCCAGATTCCTCACTCGGCCTCCAGCATCCACCCCGTCCTTTTCACGGACATCATATTGATCGCCTTTTGTGACGACAAGATCCCCGGAATCATTGGTACGCACATCAAGACAAGCAATGATCCTACGTGTTAGTCCATCACCTTTTCCCGGGGAGAGTGAAGTTCGGGGGGCGAGTGTCTGAAAACAATCACCATTCAGAAATGCGCCAATAGTCTGTAGCCCGGCCTGTCCACTTTTTTCCGGGTGAAATTGCGTTGCAAAAACATTACCTCGCGCGATAGCACCAATAAACTCCTCGTTCCCATATGTAGCAGTGGCGACAGACCAGCCATCCTCTTCAAGGAGGCCCGGGGTGTAGAGAGCCGCGTAAGAGTGAACATAATAGTACTTGCTGCTCGCATCCAAGCCATAAAAGCTTTGGTTCCCAGAAGAGCCGATTTTTGTATCAATGGCAGAATTCCAGCCTATATGAGGTACACTCTTGAAATCGGCATTGAACTTATGCATGCGAACCGGGATCAACCCCAGGCCTGGAACATCGGGGTCTTCATCAGACCCGTCGAAGAGTGCTTGCAATCCAACACAAATGCCCATGAAAGGTTTCCCGGATGTTATATGCTGTTTGATTGGGTCCAGGTAGCCCCCCTCTGAAAGTTGAGATAGACAATGACCAAAGTGGCCGACCCCTGGTAGGATAAGTTTCTAACCATTGCCGTCAGCCCAACTTGGCGTTGAATGATGTATACAACAGCATTATCTCACCTCTGCATTCTTGAGATCACTGGGAGACTTGACCCATTCAACCTGGTAGCCAACTTTATTGATTGCATTGACCAGAGATCGGACATTTCCGGCGACATAATCGAGCATATGAACTGTAGGCATTGTGGCATGCATTGAGTGAAAAGAAAGTAAAGAAAAGTGACCCTAGAGCTTCACAGAGCACATAGACTGTATACCAAGTTGTTTTCTGCGGCTAATTCCACAAAAGACACTAATAGATGGCCTGCACTTCCTGTGAGAAAAAGAAGTTGCACGTAGAGGATTATGCTTCTTCTTACCCCACTATGGGAAACATGCCGAGCTGAGTCATTCCTGACTGCTCATGTAACTAGTTAACAAGTTTTGTTGTTAGGTAACCATGTAATTACCAACAGAACCTAATCCAGGTAGGTTGATAGTAGTAGTACTTACTGCTGTAACAAAATTAACCTCGGTCCTAACTCAACACTCTATTTCCCAAAGGGAATAAATAGAACATTTGTTACACCTACTTAATTCAACCTGCCAATAATTTTTTTGCAATATATGAGTCAAAGGAACTATAAGAGACTGCTAAGTTAGACACTCAAGAAGAATTAAATATAGTAAGAAAAGAAAAAAGTCTGGATAGATTCGGTTCCTTTCGCTAATCGAGTACCAAAATGGTACAGTACACCCCCCCCCCCAAGCTGGCTACACAAACACCATTGTCTTTCCCCCCCCCTGCAGTGCCTTAACTAGGAACTTGCAAGGCATAAATTTTACTACTGCGCAGTAGTACTACTTACTGCTTTTGTTACATTATACTATGAACTCGTTGCTTGTAAATTATTGAAGCCACATGCATATGCATATTCTGGCTGGCTAGCTGTTTCCCTACCCACGTAGAGTCAATATATCTGCCCATATAAGATTCTATCTGCTTATACGTGTGGACTTAAAGCCGCTACGCCCTTATACTAGATAGATATTAAATACCGCCATATAAGCTTCCTAGGTTCCTACTAGGTAGTTGAACGGGCAGAGAGAGGGTAATAAGGGGGGGGTGTAGCGGTTCCCATACCCAGGGAAACTTAGGTATTTACTAGTCGCTGATTGTATTATCATTGATAGTAATAATTTATTGCAGAGCGAAGATCGGCATGTATTTATATAATAGAATTATGGAAAAGATTTTTTATCCAATCCGGAAGCCTTTTGGACAGGCTTTCCTTAAATTCTCTTTATCGACTCAACCACTCAAGAATATAAAAAGCCTTAATTTAGTAAATTAATTGTAGCCTAAGATGTTCAGGGGGGGCAACTCCCCAATATAATAATAGAATTACTTTATATAGAGTATAAAAAGAGCTTCCGCCTCTAGATGATCTTACCAGCCCAGTGCCTAGGAAAGCTGGGGATTTGGGGGCGGGGAGAGGGGAGGGGGGAAAGCCCCTGGTATATCAAGTCCTGGTATATATTCCAGGCCTAAAGCTAAAGACAGTAATTAAGATACTATATAGAAGAGTACTTAAATAGAGTCTTTTCAAATCATTTCAAGTCTGATCATGACATTGCAACCCACAATTCAGACTTGTCCTCGGTGTTATGCATTTCTTTAATACAGTTGTAGTTCGAAGAAGCAGGAGTGTTCTTGAAATGTAAAATAGAGCACATCCTCGTTCGGACATTTCACGAAGCACCGTTTGATAGTAGGCTAGGTGGTGCTCCCAGACTTCTCAAGGTATATAAGTCCGTTTCGAGGCTAAGGGCAATGTATTAGATTTTCGTGTAGAAATGACGATATCAAAACTTTACCGGAGAGAATTGACGGAGTTGCACACCAGCGGCCTTCAAAATAGTGGCGCTCTGTTGCGGTCAGTTGTATAGAATGATCTAATTGCTGGGAACGTACCTCGCTATCCATATTATACCCCTGTGAGTATACAACTTCAGTTATTCCCACCTGCGCAATTTTGACAGTACAAGTCAAACAAGGGCACCTAGTCAGCCCTGACAGTTAGTTGTTGGCCTTTTAGATAAATAGATACATACGTATCGCAATAAAGCACGGCGCCCTCTCTTATGCGCTCTCTTCCAGCTTCTAACAGCGCATTCTCTTCGGCATGAAGGCAAAGGCAGGTAGATAAGCCCACGCCTCCTCCTTCACCACGGTTGCATCTTGGACCTGGTAATAATAAGCTTCTGCACAATTGATACATAATCTCTGTTTTAAAAGGTCACATACAGCCACCTTCATTGCAATTTTTGAGGTGCCTTGGTGTTCCATTATATCCCGTGCTTATAACACGAAAATCGCGAACCAGGACACATCCCACTCTTCTCTTCATGCAATTACTCCTCTGAGCAGCAAGAGATGCTAATTCCATAAAATACTGATCCCAATTTGGCCGCAGGCGCTGCTCATTAGCCAGATCAAGGGTTTTAAGAGATGTATGCAGTTCTTGCAATGACAAAGATGAGTTAAACAGCCGAACTTGTGCTAAATCAGTGAGTTTTGCACGTCCGCTCTCCTTTTCATAAAGATGCCGATCGTTCCACAGCACGAATTTTTCAAGAGGCGGGGGATCAAGTAATCTTGCCTGACACCTGGAGCAGAGAGTTAGTATGAACATGAAATAGATGCTGCTAAAATGCCAACAGGTTCATTCATGACAGACCTGTCCATAAATCGCTTCCATCGAAGGCCTATCGGGGCATCAACGCTCACGAGAAGGAAAAACGGGCGCAGGAGAAAACGATGCAGGATAGTAGCATCCTGAATGTCCGTCATAACCCATAATCCTTGCCATCTCCTAGTTACAAAGTCTAAGAGGGATTTATCATCCTCAAATACTAGGGGCGGAAGCGCACTACTCTCGTTTTCCACACCTTTAGAGGCCTGTGCTTGATGATTATTGACTCCATCAAGCTCATTAGTTGTCTGAGATAAGCCTGTTTCTTTCAATTTAAGAAGCTGGAAGCCCTCCTCCTTGATGAGGTACTCCGCAATGGTATGCTTTCCAGAGCAAATAGCTTTTGGACAATGTTAGCTCACATTAAAACTTTTCGGGGATTGAGTCTTAAAAACAAACTGCTAACCTCCACATAGGCCAATCAACATTTTTTTTTATGAAGAGGGTGAAGATAGCAGGAAGAAAAGTCAAAATCAATAAAGAACAAGAACACCACCAGATGAATAAATCTAGAGAAATTAAAAAAGTTATTTATCAAAGTACTAGGTTAGATACCAAGGTGCATCGAGTAAAGTTCCCAGGTTGTATTGTAATATACACCATCACCTCCCGTCAGGTTGCAGTGTTCCTGGGTTTTGTTAATTACCCATTTCATTACTAATGTGCCTTGCATGGTGGGTACTGTATCTTAGTGTTTTGTACATGCATGATACCTTAGTACTAAGACAATGTATTGAAGCAGACTTAAGTACTGATAGGCAATAACCCCGTAACGACTCTCTAGCCTAGAACTTAACAGGAAAACAAAGGGCGTGGTAAGATCTCAATAGGATGGCATGATTTCCTTAGTAGTAGGATTGTATTGCTATGTATACAGGAGGAGGAGGAATAGAGGGGCCAAGAGGTGTTCTCAGAGGTGCCCGATCGAGTAACCACCCCCTTTCGGGGAAGGACCGTCACAGTATGGAGTACTATACAGATTATATAAGATTTTGATCAAATGTGACTAGTTAGTGCAATCATAATGTGTAAAGTACATTTAACATGGCTTATTTACTGAGGAATGTTCAGTTAACTCAGGCACATGTCTGAGATTGGAAATTAGAATAGTACTGTATTGATTTCTTTTGAGAGCACCTGATGTATACTCTGTACTCTGTAGATGTCTAGTGTTAGTATATCTACTATTTTTAGACACGTGCTTCATATCCAAAGCATCATTAAATAAGGCGGGAACTCCAAGGACCCTACACTTGGCTAATGGGATCCTACAGTCAATATTACCACCTGCTAAACTAGGCTAGCTTCTGTTAATAGTTATAGTATAGTTTTACTTGTCAGGCGGTTATATTATCTAAATTATGTGTAATACCGGCGATACCTGTAATATCTATATTATTAGATATATTAGCTGCGAGATATTGTCTGCGAGGGCTGCATGGGCTGTATAAGCTGCGTAAGCTGTGTGGGCTAGACTGTGTAGACTGCGTGGGCCGCTATACAAGGCCTGATATAAAAGTTACAGAGAAATTAGGCTAAAGTAATTGTATAATCTATCTATTTCTTTTACAGAATACTGCCGTATACTGCCCTCTCTCACCGCCGGGCTGTAGGGTCCGGGTCCCTGGAGTTCCCGCCTTAAATAATGTACAGAGTATCTAAAGGCGGTGGAGACGATGACGAGCAGCAAGCGAGGTGGTTCTCTACACGGCATTCGCTTTACTTATGCGGTAGGAACTATATAACACACTTATTTATGCTTGTTTTAATTAATAGGTCATCATCCAGACTACTGTACCATGGGGCTTTTAAGTATATAGTATATAGTATATATAAGTACCTTAGATGGATCATCTAGATGTCTAAGAGAGTAATTTTTAGTCTAATAAACAGAACTGCGCACATGGCAAATACAAAGCACCCTGTTGGGAGCCTTCCAGCTCTGGCTAGTCTCTGTAGTTAGTTGGGCCATAAAGTAACAGATCCTTCAGTAGTTACTATATATTTTACCTACTACCAACATATCATCAACCTCTTTACTGCTATGTAAGACACCTCTATCATGTTCTGAGAAGCCTTGATCGCTCCAGAAGTTGCAATCTGCGCTAACAGCGCGGCAATACTCCCTAGAGTCCCCTATCATCTAACAGACCGCGACCTCTCTCGGGCACTATCTGAAAACTCTAAAAATCATATATATTTATAAAATTATAATTTTATAATATTCTTTTATTATTTTTTAATAAACTAATTAAAAATTCAGTTAGATTAATCTGTTTAATAATTATATATAATTAATAAGATAAAATAAATATAAATATTCTAATAATACTGTAAGTAAGGATTCTTAATAATATTTTATAAAAAATTACTAATTTATAATAATTCTAAAGATAAAAATATAGTTTTATATTATTTAATTAAGCTAGTAAACTATAAAATATTTACTATAAAGATTAAAAACTTATAGATACTTTAATTTAATAAAAGAAAGAGATTATACAGCTTAGAGTGGCTAACAGTTAAAATACAGATTAAAAACCAATCTTTTAAAAAGTATATTTAGATCTAAATAAACTATAAAATATAAGTTTTAAAATTAAATTTAAAAGAATATATAATATTTATTTATAAATTATATTTTAAATATTATTTAGAATAGCTAGATTATATTTAATATATAATTAATTAATTCTGAACTTATTTTATATAATAATTTTTAATTATTGAATATTCTATAATAATATTTTTATATTATATAATTTAAAAATTAATTATATAATTATCTTGTTTAGATTATACTTATTATTTAAATAATAATTATATATTTATTTTAATTCTTGTAAAATATTTTAACTATTATCTGAATTTCTTAATTATTATCATTAATCTATTCTGGCTGTTAGCCACTCTATTAGATATCTTTTTAAGTTTAATTTCAAAACTAGTATTTTATAATTTATTTAGATCTAAATATACTTTTTAAAAGATTGGTTTTTAATCTGTATTTTAACTGTTAGCCACTCTAATCTATATAAATTCTTATAAATATATCTTTTTATAAGAATAAATCTAGCTAGTAAAATCAGTAATAATATTTTAAGTAATATAATTCCTATCTTAACTTTATAATAGATATATCTTCTTCATACTGTCTCATCCAATCAACCCCTTATAATATGATAGATATTATAAATATTACAGATATTACAGATATTACAGATATTACAGGCGTTGCAGATATTGCAGATATTATAGATATTACAGATATTAAAGACAAAGAAAACAGTAATAAAATATATAATAGTCTTTTATTAAATTCAGGTTCTAACTACAGAAATCAGAGATATTATGGGATATATCTTAGAGCTATCTGACTTAACTAGTCTATCTTATTAGATTAATATCTGCTGAGTTATATATATATAAAAAATTATTAGATTTTCAAGAATTTCTTTTAATATTAATTATTTCTTTTTATATATACAGACTTAATTTTTTATAACTTATAAATTCTATCTCTAATATTAGAAATAATTTTTAAAAAAATATTACAGTTTGATAATCAGCTGTAAATAAATTAAATAAATTAACTAAAATATTATAATATAGTAATTAACTGTATAATTAAAATATTATAATATAGTAATTTACTGTATAATTAAAATATTAATAATTTATAAGAAAATATTATAAATTAATAATTAATTATATATAAACAAATAATAAAAGATTTAATATAAGTATAATATCTTATTAATCTGATATATAAATTAGAGAAAGCAGAATAGTAAATAATAGAATAATAGAATTATTATAAAATATAATAATGAAATAAATAGAAATAATTTAATTAAGAAATTAATAAATTATAGAAAATTATAAATATTTAAATAATAAAAAAATCTATTATCTTAGTAAAAATTATTTTCAGAAATTTTATAAATAATTTTTTAATTATATAATTAAGAATTTTCTTCTTAGAAATTAAAATCTTTAATAAAAATAATAAATAAGACTTTTCTAACTTTAAGATATATTTATATTTTAAGTTTATAATAAATATAGATATATATTTTAATAATACTATTAAAATAATTTATATATTTATATACTTAAAAAATAATATAATAAAAAGATCTTACTCTAATATCAGAATCTAAATAATAAAATTATTTATACTAATATTATTACTAAATTAAATAAGATTTATAAAAATAGAAACTAAAAATAAGAGTATTAAGCAAGCTATATTTATATTATTAAGATAATAAACTTTTAAAGAATTTCTAGAAAGTTTTAATATTATATTTATATAAGCTGAAGATATTATCTAGAATAATAATCTAAGAATTATTATGATAAAAAATACTTTTAATTATTTTTTAATAAATAATTATAGATTTACAGAAGAGCTTTATCTATAAGAAATATTATTATTAATTATAATAATATAATTATAATATAAAGAAAATTATAATAAAAAATACTTTAGAGACAGAATTATTATTAGTCTATAATAATAATTAACTTATTTAATATTATAAACTAAAAATATATTATTATAACTGTGAATTATTAAGAATCAGCTTAATATAAAAAATATATAAATAAAATCTTTTTTTAGTAAAGTAGATACTTATACAGAATTTTTTTTAAAAAGAAATAAATATTTCTTTTTTATTATAGAAAATAAAAATATTTAATTAGAGAATATAATTAAGATTTTTTTATTTAATTAATTATATAAACTATACTTATAACTTAAGAAGAAAATTAATCTAAGAAAATCTTAGATAATTATAAAGATTATTAAAAAATAATAATCTCTATATAAAATTATAAACAGAGATATTTAAATAAAATAATTAATTTAAATTAGAAAGTTTTTAAAAATTAATATATAAATATTAGATTTTATTTCTAAAAATTATTATAAATTAAATAACTAATATTTAAATAATAATAAATATAAAATACTTAGTCTATAAAATTATTAATTAAAAATTTATATAAAAATAAAATCTAAAGCTAATCTTTATTATATTTATTTCAGTAATTAAAACTTATAAAAAAAATAATTAATTATATTATTCTTATATAACTAAATATTAGAACATACTTTAAATATAATATTTATATATATATTATAAATTATCTACTTAAGTATAATATTATTTTAAATCTATTTTAATTAAGAAAATATAACAGAAGAATTAAATTAAATTAAAATTATATTTATTTTTAAATAATCTGATTAAAATTAAAGATAATACTAATAATATAATTTTCTCTGACTAAGATATTATAAGGGTGTGTATTAAGGTAGTATAAAGAAAGTATATCTATTATAAAGTTAAGATAATATCTATATTATTTAAAGTATTATTACTAGTCTTTTATCTAGCTTTTTTTATAAATAGATATATCTATAAGAACTCTGTAAATTATATATTATATTAATATAATTATTTTATAAGAGATTGTTTCTATAAT